AAGCTCAGCCGCACGCCCAAGTGCGCGCGCTGCCGCAACCACGGCGTGGTGTCCTGCCTCAAGGGCCACAAGCGCTTCTGCCGCTGGCGCGACTGCCAGTGCGCCAACTGCCTGCTGGTGGTGGAGCGCCAGCGCGTCATGGCCGCCCAGGTGGCGCTCCGGAGGCAGCAGGCCACCGAGGTGCGTACCCGCCGGGCCCGGGGTCGCGCCTCGAGGGGACGTCCGGGCCGCCGTGGGGGTCGAGCGTGGGAAGGGACGGGCAGCCCCTTTCCCCCCGCCCGGCGGAGGGCCGCGGCGCGTGGCGCTTCTGGGGGGGACGGGTGGTGAAGACGCTTCTCTGGTCCCGGTGGCCTGGGGGGGTCGGGGCAGGGAGGCAGCCGCGGGCATCGCCGGGGAACTTGACCAAAAAGATTTTGTAATTTTAAATGCAGGCACAAAGGCCTTGAGAGTGGTCTGGGAGGTTTTGGGGAAAGATATTTTATCTTTTACGTGTTTATTTTGGTGGTGTTGGGGAGCAGGGGGAGGACAGTGGTGGCTGCAGTCGCTGTGTTCCTGGTGCTGTTCTCGAAAAAGAACCGCGCAGCTTCCACTGTGAAAGGGAGAGGCAGAAAGTGCCGCCCATTTTACAGATGAGACCAAGGGTGGCGTGGGAAGTTAGGTGCCCGAAGCCCTAGGTCCTGAAGCCAGCTTCTGATTTAAGCTAAGGGGCCGGTGGAGGGGTCCCTGGTGCCTCCCACCGGGGGGCTCCAGCTGTGAGCAGAGCCAGCGTTTTCTTTAAGGGTGAGGCTTTTCTTGACCTTTGGATTTCCTGTGTCCATGTGTTCCTGCACTTGGGAGAGCTCAGAGCCAGGGAAGCTTCGGGGTCCCCCCCCACCCCTTACAGACTCAGGGCCTGGGAAGATTTTTGCTTTTACGTTTTCTCTAGGAGGGACTGGGGAGGGGTTCACATCCTCATCGGAGGCAGTGACCCTAATGGAAACCTTTCTGAGGGCCCTGGAGAGTGCTCTGGATGACCGAGGTGGCCTTGGCCCTGGGCTGGGCCTCCTCCAGAGTGAGGCGCTTGGCACCGAGGGCTCCTACATCCCTCAAGGGTCCCTGGGCATTCAGGGCTGGACTCAGGCATAGAAGGACCCAGAATCCCACCAACCAGGAGGTGACAGAGGGAGCAAAGTTGGGTTTCCCCTTGTCCCTTGCCCCAGGTGGCTGCTGAGGTTTTTGTTTTTGCCTTCATGTATCCCAGGCTCCCACTGTTTTTGGCCAGACCCGGGAGAGTGTGAGAGACAGGTTCCCTCATACCTCTCTCTCAACCCCTTGTACCCCATTCCACTTGCCTTACTGCCAGAAGAAACCAGCTTCACCTCACTGCTCAATGGCAGGCCACGGACACCTTTGGCCCTACCTCTGCGTGCCCCGGACACAGCTGTCCCCTGCAGCTCTCCTTCAGGGCCTGGCTCCCAAGATCTTGACTGTGGGATGTCCCCCAACTTCTAGCTGTGGGATGAATCTGGAGTGACTCTAGCAAAGTGGCCACAGAGAAAATCTCCTCTACTGCCTGTCAACTGAAGTAGCTTGTTGCCCTGGAATTAAGGGGTGCTGATGTGAATTTGTTGAGAATTATTTTTACATGGGATGGGAAAATAAATACATTTAGACCGGGGAGGGTTGCTGCTGCCCCTTCCTTCTCTTTCTTGTGGGGCATTGTTGATTATGTTTCTTGTGTTTACAGGACAAGAAGGGGCTTTCCGTGAAACAGAATAATTTCGAGCGCAAAGCCGTGTATCAGAGGCAAGTCAGGGCACCCAGTTTGCTGGCCAAAAGCATTTTAGAAGGTAAAGCAATGCAGAATTATCCTTTAGCCTTTTAAACCAAGTTCTGAGGGCTTCTCATTATTCACACATATGGCATTTTTATTAACCTGTGAAGGAGCACTCTGAGGGGAGGGTACTTTGTATTAGGAAGTTTTGCTTTAGGGAGGAAATCAGGGTGTGGGGAAATGGATCTCACATACCTCTGGAGGTTTCTGTCACCGGTAATTTTGTTGTCTGCATAATAGTTGTAGTCTGCTTAATAGGCAAGGGGTTAATGTGGAGTGCATTTGAAATTGGCCCTAGTGTGAGGGCATGCCACCAGATCATGGACGGAGCAAGGAAATAAATTAAGAACAAATTCTTTGGGTGTAATTGTAGCTGAAGTAAGTCAGGTGAGGAGCTGAACAGCTACCCACGCCAATAAAGACCTCTAGTCCGACTGATGCATCATCTAATACCACTCTTTTTCGCTGTACTGTATTCCTCCCTGGATTAGCTACATCAGTTTACTATTTCTTATTTCTCGGTTTACTGTTTCTTATTTCTAACCGTCAAGATTGTAGAATCTGGAAAAGGTTTTGAATCAAACAAGAGAAGTGGAGGTTGAATTTGAATTTGAACGGCGTGAATTCTCTCTACCAAGTTTTCACTTTCTCTAATGCTTGGGGATACATTAATTTTACTTAAAATATTGCTGATTTTTAAAAGCAGCTCTCTTTGGGGATGGGATTTATGGCTCTGATAAACAATATATTGATCACCCTTCACCATTTAAATAAAGGAAAGTTTGTATTTGTTGTAATCACTCCTCCTTCATAAGATTCAGGTTGAAAAGCAGTTTGTTTTTTTTTGAGTAGATATTTGCATTCTGTTTTTTCTCATGTGGCTTCTAATTGAGTTGGTTCTAGACAGGTTGTAGAGTTTGTTCGTGTGTTAATCCTGTGCTGTATACTTCTGATCTTAGAATGGTTTCGCGTGCGTTAAAAATGAATTTGGTTGCAAACTGGGTAAACAGATTTATAGCCGTAGGGACAGCACGGATAAATTGAAAAGGTGCCAAAACAAGTTGAGAAGTGGGAGGGCAAAATGGAATAGTGAATTCAAGTAAATAACTTCCTGGCAAAAACTTACCTTAGAAATAGAAACACTAATTTTCACATTTTATTTTATTTGCAAATGAGGGCGTTGGGCTTGTCACAATGGATCCTTCAAACAAATTTGCTAGTACTGAGTGCTTGGGGATAGTGAAATACTCAAAGCATTTCATGCTACTAGGAATTCTATTTATGCCGTACTAATCTTAAGTTTTTAAAATCTCTGCCCTTGCTCGTGAAATGTGCAGTGAGTTTATACTGTAATGATTGTCTGCTCAACCATTTTGGTAACTGGCCAACATGATTGGGAGAAATGTTTTAGATCAGTTATTTTCAATAGAGAGGCTGATCTCCTCTCCTGCCTTTAGTTTTGTTTGTTTTTACTGCAAGTCTGGGGGAGGGGGCTGGTTAAATTGTTCTCTGCAGAATCTGTTTGACTAGTTAACAGCTCTTTTCAATTTTCTGTGCTTCCCTGTTTCCTTAGTCTTTTCTGTTTTTCTCCTCACTAATCTGCTGTCACTTTCTCTTTTTTCTAGTTCTCCTTGGATTATTCTCCACCTGTAACAATGTCCATAATGAACCGTCTTTAGAAAATAGCAATGCCATCAGCTTTAGGTATAGATATCTTTTTTGATAATGGAAAAAGATGACACGGATAGTAATAAAGCATTGACTGAAGCAAGATAAGCAGACTTGTCTCTTAATATGTAGGAGCCTGGGAAGTAGATTAAACTTTCAGCCAGTGAAGTGTGCCTGTAAAGGTAAACAAACAAACCTGTAATGGCAAAACCAACAATAACAAAAAGTTACAATCTGGATCTCCTGCTCCCCAAAGAGAACTCTTTTCACTTGAACCTATACTTTTGTTTTCTGTGTAAAACATTAGTGTTTTAGAACTGTAAATTGTTCTTGTTCTTGTCCTGCCCATTTGCAGTGTCTCTGTTACCTTCTGGGTTTCTGGAATTTTCTTCCCTAGTTGTTAATCTCTTTCCTGTGCAATGCTTGCTTATTTTAGGCTACCGCCCAATTCCAGCAGAGACTTATGTGGGAGGGAGCTTACCCCTACCTCCCCCGGTAAGTGACCGGATGAGGAAAAGGCGAGCCTTTGCTGATAAAGAGTTGGAGAACATTATGCTGGAGAGAGAATATAAAGAGAGGGAGATGCTGGAAGCTTCCCAAGCTGCTGCCTTGTTCCTGCCCAACCGTATGGTGCACGGACCTGAATATAACTCCTACAAAAGTGCCTATAGCCCCACCCCGGTGGAGCCTCCAAACAAAGACTTCTGCAATTTTTTGCCCACCTGCCTTGATCTAACCATGCAGTATTCAGGCTCTGGGAATATGGAACTCATCTCTTCCAACGTCAGCGTGGCTACGACTTACAGACAGTATCCCTTGTCCTCAAGATTTTTAGTTTGGCCCAAGTGTGGCCCCATCAGTGACACTCTTCTTTATCAGCAATGCCTGCTAAACACCACCACCTCGGTTCAAGCCCTGAAACCCGGGGCCAGCTGGGACTTGAAGGGAGTGCGAGTCCAGGATGGCCTTGTCACAGAGCACGACATGGTACCACCCAAACTAGAAGGCTCGCTGGTGTCGCCTCATGCTGCAGAGGTCCAGACCTCCAGAAGTGACCTTCACGGTCACCAGGCTGTCCCTGAGAGGTCTGCGTTCTCCCCACCCCAACCGAATTTCTCTCCCATTGTTGACACGGACTCCCTGGCGGCTCAAGGGCACGTCTTAACCAAGATCAGCAAAGAAAGCACCAGGCACCCTGTGCCACTTAAACATAATCCATTCCATTCATTATTCCAGCAAACTCTTAATGACACATCAGGCCCTGAGCTGAAAACGCCATTTGTCAAAGGGGCCTTTGAAGACGCCCCTAAGAAGCCCAGAGAGTGTTTAGTCAAGGAGAACCAGAAGTACACATTTACAATAGATAGATACGCGAAAGACCTTTTCGTCGCCAAGCAAGTTGGAACAAAACTCTCTGTGAATGAACCCCTGTCATTTTCTGTCGAGTCTATTCTGAAGAGGCCTTCATCTGCCATCACTCACGTCTCTCAGTGAAAGGCTGCTTACACAGAAAGCTGGATTTTCTGCCATCTTGGAGGGTTCCTACCAGTGGCTAATTTTTTTTTCTTTTTTAAGAAGAAGGGTTCACATGTTTGTATAAAGAAATTTCTAATGTAAATGGGGATGATTTAAAAAAATTATATATATTCATATGCATGTACTTTTTCTCACCACATAAATATATTTAAACTTAAAGATGGAAATTGCTTATGTGCAAACTGTAAAGTTCCATGCTTTACACAGCATTTCAAAAAGCAATAAAGTTGACACTGTCTTCTAAAAAGACCCAGTGTTTGCAGAAGTACCTAGTTGTCTGTCTAGGTGAAAAACTAGTGTCTGTGAAATGTTTTCTTTATTTTTCTAGGATTTGGTGTATTTTCAAGCGCTCTTAATGGTCAGTGGGGATCATGGGAAGTGCCTTATAATGCCTTAGTTTCGCATTTTGGAGGATGGGTAAATTTTGCTATTCAAGATTGAGGCAAAAATAGCTTTACAGAGAATACAGAACAGATGTGCATGTCTATAGAGTCATAATTTCACGTGATTGGACAAAGTAGAATTAATTTCTAGGGAAATCAAGTTTAAGATCTCATATCATGACCTGGCTTCTTGGGATGGATGTCTTTTAGCTCTCTGAGTCCCAGTGTCCTGATTGCAGTGTTTACCTGGGGCTTCAAGCTTCCGTTCTAGATTGAACTTTCTGTGACTTCTAGGTTGCTAGGGGGTCACAGAGCAGGTCCACTTGTAAGGTGCAGTTGGTTCAAACCATGATAGTGTATGTTTGAACCCCCTCTTAGCCCTGTGTATTTCACTGTCTCCTAAGGGCTGGTGACAGCAGGCATTTATTTTATTTTAGTTTAGTTTAGTTTAGTTTTGCTTTTTTCTTGTGTTGATTTGTTTTTATTTATTTATTTTTAATATAATTTATTGTCAAATTGGCTAACATACAGTGTGTAAAGTGTGCTCTTGGTTTTGGGGGTAGATTCCCAGGGTTCATCGCTTACATACAACACCCAGTGTTCATCTCAACAGGTGCCCTCCTCAATGCCCAGCACCCATTTTCCCCTGTCCCTCACACCCCCATCCACCCTCAGTTTGTCGTCTGTATTTAAGAGTCTCTGATGGTTTGCCTCCCTCCCTCTCTGTAACTGTTTTTTTCCCCTTCCCCTCCCCCATGGTCTTCTGTTAAGTTTCTCAAGATCCACATGAGTGAAAACGTAGGATATCTGTCCTTCTCTGACTGACTTATCTCACTCAGCAAACTACCCTCCGTTCCATCCACGTTGCTGCAAATGGCATGATTTCATTCTCATTGCCAGGTGGTATTCCATTGTGTATATAAACCACATCTTCATCCATTCATCAGTTGATGGACATTCGGCTTCTTTCCATGATTTGACTGTTGTTGAAAAGTGCTGATTCCTAGGGGCACATGTACCCCAATGTTTACAGCAGCGCTTTCAACAGTAGACAGCAGGCATTGAGAGGTAGGTGCAGTCAGGACCAACTGGTCCCCGAGTATCAGCTTTATGCTCCCACATTGTTGCCCCTGCCAGAGGGTTTCGGTATAGCTCTCTTCTGAGATTAAAAAAAAAATCGCTATTCAAATAGCTTCAGGTGACAGTTTGCCAAAGACTGCAGATGCTCGTCATGTCATGGGGGTGGCTTCTTGAGTCTTAGCCACCCCTCCCTTCAGTTTTGAGTTCCTTATTACCCTCTAGTTTTGCTCAATAAAATGTTGACTGTTGTTCTATATGATAGATAAAATGAGAGTAAGACATTTATGAGAGTGTTCCCTTCATCTCTGAAAGCCTCATCTGTGGACCCCAAATGAAGCCGTAAGATGCCACAGTCTTTTCAACCCAGAAAATCCAGAGCTAAATATCCGACCTTGAGTTTTGTGATGGAGTAAGTTGTTGCTTCCAATTGTCCTCTCACTTGGGGAACAAGAGCACTGGTTGGGCATGTGGGATGTGCCAAGAGATTTGGCAATTTAAAGAGTTTCTGTCTTGCTCTGGAAAGCATTTAAAATTACTTAAAAATGATTTTGCTACTGATGAGCTCATGTAAACCTCCAGGGGTTCTCTGAATTGTTGCTTAAAATTAGAATCGGTTTCAAAAACAACAGGCCAAACCTTAGATTGATTTCCAGTTTGTACTTGTAAAGTAATACTTGGTTTTATTGAGTCAAATTTACTTATTTTTACTCTTGCAAAAGCCAGAGCAAGTGGAAGTTTGCCAGAGGAAAAGAAAATGAAAGAGGGCAGGGCTCCCAATGACTGTTGAAGATTATTTTCATTAAGTGGAAATATGTTTTCCAGTCATGAATGCCCTGGTGTCAGAGACAGGATCTAACTTCATTCAACCCCTCTGCTCCCCCAGTCATCTTTGTTTTATCTGGTTGTTAATTTTTATCTCCCTATTAGGAATTTATTTTTTGTGTCCAGTGTTAAGTGTAGACTTAACATTCAATCTAACTGCTGCAGAGGTAATGGGGAAAACCCATCATAATAAACCCACATAAAAGTAATTCCAAGAAGAAGTCCTTCTTTTTAAAAAAATTTAATGTTTATTTATTTTTGAGGGAGACAGACAGAGCACAATGAGGGAGGAGCAGAGAGAGAGAGAGAGCGCAGCTGAGCTGTCAGCACAGAGGCTGGAACTGATGAAGTCAGATGCTTAACTGACTGAGCCACCCAAGTACCCCAAGAAGAAGCCCTTCTTAATCCAAACATGGATTTTCTCTCTTTCTTACTCTATTTTAATATTTTGAATAATTAACATTGGCCAATTTTTCCCCCTTTTGTGTTCAGTGAACATTTTGGGACATCTTTTCTGTCCTGTTATCTTTTTAATCTCATTAAGTGAATCCAGTTGACTGTGGGTATTAGTGCTTTTTCTCACATTATCAGTGAACAATTTTATTGTTCTTGAACATTTATAAGGGTGAGTACTTTCCTTGGTGAATTATTATTGTGCATTAATTCTGCTATCATGCTGAGTTCTTGGGATTTCAAACCTGCCATCAGCCACAAGAGATTTGTGCTTGTTTTAATCATTTTACTTCAATCACAGCTACTGTTTGATTCTGTAGACTCTTCAAAGAATACTGTCACCAACACATTAAATCCAACTTGTGGATCAGTATAAGCATTTTCTGTGTTCAAGGCAATAAATGGATTTGGGTTTAATTATTTTTAAGAATGTAAAGAAGAATAAAACATGGACCTTTTCCTCGATTTAACTCCCCATATAATGCGGCTCTAATGACATAGTTTTCTTCCATCTTGACTGGTCAAACGTTATATGATTTTTTGCTCAGTTTGCTGTGATGGGTGGTTTACACCAGTGCTTCCCAAACTTTAATGGATGGTGAATCACGTGGGTACCAGATTCTGGTTTTCTGTAGGCCTGAGGAAGGGCATATGATTCTGCCTTTCTACCCCCCACCTCAACCCCACCATGGGATGCTGATGTTGCTGGTTTTCAGCCTACTTTGAGTAGTGAATGTTTTCCATATTTCTGTTAGTCCAATGCACATTTAATATACTCTTCCATGGGTTTGACTTCTAATACAATGGAGTTATCGTAAATAATTTAATATATGGGAATAATTAAAAATTTTTTTTCCTCCAAACCTCCAGAATGTACAACATCAAGAGTGAATCATAATGTAAAATGGGCTTTGCTGATTATGAAGCATCAGTGAAGGTTCATCAGTTGTAACAAGTGTACCACTCTGGTGGGAGATTTGTTAATGGGGGAGGCTATGCATGAGTTGGGGTAGTGTGTGTGGGGGGGATATGGAAAATCCCTGTACCTTTCTCTCAATTTTGCCATGAACCTAAAACTGTTCTAAAACAATAAAGTAAAAAACACAAACAAAAAAAACCTTTTTTAACCCTTTGGTGGCAGAAAGTAGGACAAGACCTAGGCGTAGTTATAAAGGAGACAAATTGCTTCCCTCTCTCTTTTTTCAAAACTAGAAGATAGTTTGGTCAAAAAGAAACCATATTTTTATGGGGCACCTGGGTGGCTCAGTCGGTTAAGCGCCCAGCTCTTGGTTTCGGCTCAGGTCATGACCTCATGGTTGTTGGGATCGAGCCTCATGTTGGGCTCTGTGCTAACAGAATCTGCTTGGGGTTTTCTCCCTCTCGTTCTCTCTCTCTGACCCTTCCCCCACTTTCATGCGGGTGCATGCACCCACCTTCTGTCTCTCTCAAAATAAGTAAACTTCAAAAAATATATTTTAAACTGTGGTAAAGTACGCATCACGTAAAATTTACCATTGTAACCAATTTTAAGGGTACAGTTCATTGATGTTAAATGTATTTATCCTGTTGCTCAACCATTACCACCATCCATCTCCAGAACTCTTTTTATCTTGCAAAACTGAAACTCTGTGCTTATTACACGATAAGTTTCTCCTCCCCGCCTGCTCCTGGAAACCATCCTTCTACTCTATGCATTTGACTACTCTAGGTGCCTCATACTGAGTGGGACCATTCTCTATTTGTCCTTTTGTGATGGGCTTATTTCACTTAGAATAATGTCTTCAAGGTTCATTTATACTATAGCATATGTCAGAACTTCCTTCCTTTTTAAGGTTGAATAATATTCCATTGTATAGACCTCACTTTTTCTTTCCTTTTATCTGTCCATGGCCACTTGGGTTACCATAGCAGTGAATAGTGCTGCTATGAACACGGGTGTGCAAATATCTCTTCACTTAGTCCTTACTTCCTGATTTCACCTTCTTCCCATCTTCAGGAACTCAGTTTTTCTCAAGTATACATCCCTCCCACACTAACTGCCTGCCCCCAGTGTGTGGACCTAACTAACCAAGGCAACACCACTCTGCCCAGAGAGGCTCCAATATCAGCTGTGCACTTTTTGATGTGGTTTAAGTGAGTGTGTTATCACATCATCTGCGTTTAAAAGCTTAACCCCAATTGTGGAATGAAGGACTTGCATTCAGAAACTTTCTGGAATTCCTTATGTCAAGTCTCTGCAGTGCTAAAAGAGTAAAGAAACAGCTGAGAGAGTCAAGATAAAGAAGAAAAGAGAACCCACAGTTCCCTGTAAAATAATGACATTACTTAGGATCAAGTCTGGGTTTTCATCTGGTACTAGAATTCTTACTGGCCCACCTGATTTTATTTATTTTTGGTTAACTGTTTTTGTTATTTTTCTAGGTCTGTGAGTTCAGGCTTATTTCCTTCTAGGATCCAATCTGGAGCGGTGATAGTTCTTTAGATGGCTGGATCCTGAAATACATAAACTCTGTTCCACTTGTATTTATTT